ACACACACACACACACACACACACACACACACACACACACACACACACACACACACACATGTGAGTCACTTGCCTGTTGGCACAGGTGTCCATCAGGTAGAAGCAAGTGCTGAAGTGGTTTGTTTACACCTTTTACCAGGAATAGATCAGAGTCTTGGAGAGAAGTGAGAAAGGGCTGGGAGTTTCCTTCTAGGTTGCCAAACTTTGTGCTGTCTTTATACTCCATATACTCGATATAATTTTACAATAAGCCCTGTCCTGAGATTTACTCTACTCTCTCTGACTCAAAGAGTTCGAAGATGTTAGCTCTGTTGGCAAGATAATGGAAGACCCTGGCATGGTCTTATGATGCCATTTTTGATAGTCTCTCTTCTTTTTTTTCACTCTTTCTTTGTGATATTATGATAATTGGTGTTAGTGTCTACGATCATTGCAGGATAGTGGTTAATGTGTATCTAGATAAAAAAGAAAGCTGAAAAGAGTGCACTGCACTCTTGTACTTTTCTGTAAAGCACGGCATGTGTATGGATGGGTTATCAGAAAAAGTTTAAGGGGGAGAAAGATATAAATGTTGGAAAATTTAACCCTGACCCGGTTGTGAAAAGAGAGAGAGATATATTTTTTTTATCTTATCAAAAAATGTTTTGTTTTGCATCTCAACTTTTATCAGTAAACTTTTGGTCTCTTGTTTTTGTCAACAGATATTTATCAGCGACATCCTATCGTGTGCCAGTTTGCTACTCCATTATGGGACCACATTCATTCAAAACCAGAGGTGAATGATTGAATAATGTGTTTCTGTGGGTTTTTGTTTTGTTTCGTTTTTTAAATTATATGGTTAGTATGATAATCAATTTCAGCTGATTGTTGTTTTAACCTTTTCTTTTTTAAAAGGAAGTGTCTACGTACTCCCCGATTGGGGTCTACGTAGTCATGGTGTCTAGGTGGACCCCAAAATTGTTGGATTGTGATTGGCTCGCTGAGCGAGCGGTAGTTTACATTGGTTACAATGCAAGGCTGCTAGGCCTAGCCTACTTACTGATCATTTCGGGTAGTTTGTCTATCTTGTGTTACTATAATTAATTTATTTTAGCAGAGAGAGAGAGAGTATTTAATGAATAAACGTATCTAGATCTAGATCTAGATTTTGTTGTGCACCCAGCCAAGAGTGTGCAGTTCGGTCTAGATTTAGATTCTAGATCTAGATACGTTTATTCATTAAATACTCTCTCTCTCTGGGCTAAAATAAATCAATTATAGTAACACTAGATCGACACACGGCCCGAGATGATCAGTAGCCTTGCATTGTAACCAATGTAAACTACCGCTCGCTCAGCGAGCCAATCACAATCCAACATTTTTGGGGTCCACCTAGACACCATGACTACGTAGACCCCAATCGGGGAGTACGTAGACACTTCATTTTTAAAATGTAGGTGTTGTTATGCTCTCCTGTCAACACAATTTAAGATAATTTAGGAAGCAGGCTTTGACTCGGCATGTTTGGGCCAGCTGGGGTTGAGAGGGACACGACATTCAAACTGAAAAAAAATGGAGATGCTTGGTTCAAATTCTCTTCACAGGAGAATCATTCTCAGATTTTCCTCATGCTACGGCAAAAATGTCTTATCTATTGTCTGGCAACACCAAATGAACAACTTTTCGACCTCATTACACAGAATCTAAATGGCAAATTGCTCTGATTTTGAGCATGCGCCTATGGACTCTAAAAGACCTTTAAAAAATCTTGATTTTTGTGCATATGTGACAAATATAAAGAGGAGCTGTCCAAATAATCATGGGTCAATAATTTCTCATTAAACTCAATACCGTGCACTTTTTCTAGGTAGCACAGTAGCATGCTAAAACCATAGCAATACAGGGATTCGCTGTTTGGGCTTATTCAGAAATTTCCGTACAGGAGGATACAGTTTGGTCAAACCCAAAAACAGGTGGTCAAAAGAGTGCTAAATTTGAAGCGCTAATGAACATATCACTGAGGGACAACACCCCCCCCTCCCCCCTCCTTCCCTACACATACATTTATTAGTAGTATTATAATTGGAAGTATTATGAGTCTTTGTTATTCGTTGTTTTTTTTTCTTGGTTTTCGTCTTCTTTGATCCATCTGAGCAGTGCAGTATAGTCCCGGGTAGTCCCATGGCGCGTCTTGTCCTTTTTGGGGGGATTTTTTAATAGTTTAAAAGAGACACCTTGATCAACTTCTTCGAAGAAATAGTTCAGTAGTTTTAGGGCAACGTTTTTTGGGGCGGTTCTTTAAATTAATTGAATTATAATCTAATCATGGTGATTAAAAAAACGACAGGATATTGAAACGCATGCGATTTCAAAGACTGTGGAGATAAGAAAGAAATTTTACACATTGCATTTATCACAATTAGTCAATCTTAATAAACACACCATCACCCACTAACCACTGGACCTACACTTGTGGCAAAACAGTTCAAAAGAAGAAAATAGGCTCAACACACAAAAAAACTAAAACTCAAAACTACCATTGTTCTAATCAAAGAGCCCCGCCCAGACGGTAATTAAATTAATACTAATGATTATATACAGTGGGTGTCGCATTCTATGAGGTTGCCGGGACCGGCTTGTTGTCCTCGTTGGATCCGACCTGTGGTTGAACGTGACAAAGGCTAAAGAAAAGAAAGGAGACAAGTTATTATATTACATGATGTACCAATACCAGTAATTAAAACAGTTGTTCCCCCTGATGACGAAAAGCTCAAACAGCATCAGTGCGATTTCTGCATTAAAAAATTTTTTTGTTCCGGAACACTTCTCGTGTGGAAATATACCCTCTCACGTCTAGGCCTAGATATCTACAAAAAATAAATGCGGGAGCTTGGATTTTCGCATTCCCACCCACCCCCTCCCATCCCTATAGCCTATAGTAGGCCAGCCGTCACCCATCCTCTTGGCTTTGGGGCCCATATTTGGAGGCACACTAGATATCTAGCAATACAATGTGTTAGGATCAAGGATGGGCCTTGCGCTTCGCGTGAGATGGAGAGAAAGGAGAAAAATTCTTTGCTTTTGGGGCCGCTAATTGCTTTTATTTCATTATCGCGACCTTGTTGAAAGCGACTTTGGTCTGTTTGCAACCTCGTTTGAGCTGACATACTTTTACAAAGAGATAGAGGAAAAATCAGGGATTAAGGATTACCTTGTTGGAGCCGACTTCTCGGTGAATTCGCCACTAAGATTCTGTGTAATGGGGTTGACGTTGTCCATTTGGTGTTTGTGTTGCCCAGACTATAACCACTACATCAGTGGCCCTAGTGTTTGTACTGTATATATATATTATATAGAGGAAAAAATCGGGGATTAAGGATTGCCTCGTTGGAGCTGACTTCTCGGTGAATTAGCCACTAAGATTCTGTGTAATGGGGTTGACGTTGTCCATTTGGTGTTTGTGTTGCCGAGACTATAACCACTACATCAGTGGCCCTAGTGTTTGTACTGTAGTAAACATTTTATAATGATCATATGCCTCTCTTGGGGCTTTCTCTTTTTTTTTCTCATATAAATGTCCTAATGTACCGTTCTCTTATTGTAAGAGGGTTTGTGATGACGAGGGAATAGTTTCTTAATCCTTGGCTTTTGCAGTAGTGGCTGATACAGGGCTGCCCATTATTTTGAATTTAGTGGAATTGTTAATTGTTATGATATGGTTTTCTTCAATTTTATGTAAATAAAATTGTAGCTCCCCCAACACTCCTGTTATGGCGGTGGGACATATGATAACTAGGTAATTGGTCCATCCATAATATTAAATCTGCAGTTCATAGCTGCACATTGCTGTCTGAAGCTGATATCATTATTCAGCATTTATATGTGAAGCCATAAATTTCAGTCGGTGGTATGGTAATTACCATAATAGTAATAGGTTTTTGCAATGTTTTACCTAACTATATTGTTTTTAGTATGATGAGAAAAAGAGATGAAATTATTTTTTATGTGGATAGGTGTACGGCATATTGATGGCGTTTGAGTTCTGCTGTTAGTTCTAAAACTAGCAGACAGTTTAGTGGAATGTTTTTATGAATACGAAGTTCGAGTATCAATGCCATCTGTAAAACCAGGTTGAATTGACACACAAGAATTTTATTAGAAGAAGAGTGAGCAGGGATTTTGGGAAGAGTATATTTTTCCTTTCAGAGTTTCCGTTTTATATTGCTTGTGAATTGATAGTAAATTTCACTCACCCGTTGAAACGGTTTGGGTCATTTAGCTGGTGGGCAACTTTGGCCTTGCCTGTCGGGGCCAACCTTGGCTCTGTGCATACATCATCCCTACAGAAAGGCAGAGATACTCAATGGAGTAGACTTATCTACACTGGAATTGAGTGTACGTCTTTGGTTTGCAGCAGCCATAGATGTTGGTGCATGCGTCATGAGCAAAGAGATTGTTTACACTGGCCTGGTCGCAATGACCTTTCTGGGTCATGCATCAGTGCATCACTATCATGATAACATGTGCTCTGATACAGCTCAAAGACTCTCTCTAGAATGTGTGTAATGTTCCTTCATTTCCCAGGGTTTTCATGTACTGGGCTTAGATAATGTCTTTTTAAAAATTCTCTTGTGTTTATCTGGGTGAACTTTAAAAAAGATTATTTTTAAAATACTTTTTGCTCTTTTCTCTCTCTTTTCACTCAATGACAAACATTATGAGAGCAAGCATACATTGCTATTTTGACCTGATAAATATGATATATATTGTATAATTGTGACATCTTTTTTGCCGATACTTGCAACTTTTTAGTTTTACACAGCTTCCATTGTTTTATTATCTGTAAAGGCTGTTGTTCTGGAAGGCAAATACTGGAAAAGGAGACTGGACACAGTCACAGCAGAGTACAAGAAATGGCGCAGATACTTCAAAGAGCGCATCAGCCAGAAGCAGGGCATCAATTACAAGTAAAGGGCTTTTGTTGTCGTTGTTATTGTTGGTTTTTTGTTTGTTGTTGGGGGGGGGGGGGGTTTGGAGGGGGTATTTTTCGTTTGTTTATTGTATAGATTAAGAGACGAGACCTCCAAATTTAACGTTGATTTCTAACAAGACAGAGCCAAATGGGGTGGAGAGCCTTAAAAGCTGCCCAAAATAACTCTGAGATCAAGATCGCACCCTTGAGGATTGGAACCAGGGCCATCCGCTCAGTAGCCCAACATGATACGACTGTGCTAATTGCGAGCCTTGTTAATGGAGAGGTGGTCTTGAGATAGTCAGATGTGTTTTTGTGGCTCTCTGCTGCTCTGCAAGAACAAACGCCCATGAGGGTACTACCAAAAATGACCCAGATACGTCAAAGGGTTGTAAATCAGGAAAGAGTCGTCAATGACAGGAGAGGTGGCATTGATAGTATCACAGGTCCTCCTTGCGCTCTTGTTATCTGCAGTAAATCACTGTTATAAAAAGAGACAGTAAGAGTCTTAATATTGATCTTAGCTTGTAATTGGTTTCTTGAAAATTTTTCTACGTGCGAAAATGAATTGTTCTGTTTCAAATGATGAAAGGACACAAGAATTAGCCCATGGTACCGTTATGCTATTTGTAGTGCATGCTGACTCCTGATTTGTTGAGGACCCACAGATCAACCTTGACAATGGTTTTAGAACCAAAAAAAAAGAGTGGACATATTTTATTCCTGTTTCTGTAAGTTAATTTTTAAAAATACCTTTTTTGAGAACAGTTTTGTCCATAATAAACATTTTCTGGTACTGACACTCAAATAAACTCTTACCTTTTTTTTTTTTCATGGATAGTTTGCAGGTGCTCTGGTTTGCTCTTTCTTTCCCATCAAACGTCTATGGTCCTGATCTCTCTTTTTTGTGTATTTATTACGCTTTTGTAACACCTTTAATCTTCGGCACTTTTATTACCTAATTTTGTTGTTAGTGCTGTAAAACTCATATTATAACAAATAACAAATAAAATGTTTCTTTCTTCCCCAGGGAGATGAACAACCTTGCCGAGTGGGAGCTCCTGGAGCGGGTAAAAGATGTGACCTTTATCCCCCATAGTTCAGGAGACCAGATGTCGAGCACGGACCTGAACCTACCGCAGGCTGATGTGATGGACATGGATTTCCCCAATGATCTGTTTCCCTTCCTGAATCAGCCCTTTGCCTTCCCAAACCCCAGGGAGCTCAGTATGTACCAGTCATTCCCTACCCTTTATATTGTGCTGTCACCTATTAACCCATGTTCTGCACATTTTTTGTGCTGATCCACATTTAACGCAACTGTTGATAAGCTACATCTACACAGAATTGAGGTTGGCTGTTAAAATTCGATAGAGGAATGTAGATGGTAATTGAAATGTTTTGCACCGTCATCGACTCATTTGTACGATGTAAGAGGCTGTTTGGTTCAACCTAGTCTGTAAGGGCCAACCCAACATCCCAGCAGAAAGACTGACAGGTATAAATTCAGAGACCTGGTGTTTTAACAAAATGGCATTAGCGTTTTTCTTTTCTGAAAGTTTATGGCGAGTTTTGGCTTAATATTATTTGTTGCAGAGTGCGCTACCGGCCAGCATGTTAAAAGAAAGTATGTAGTTAATGTCACATTACTGGAAATAGCAGTGGTTGTTTTGGAGTTATGATTGACACTGACTTTTCAAATGATTGTTTTGCCTTCTTAGTCTAAGATGCTTGTCTCTTCAAACCAAAACCTTGGGAGTTTGGGTCTTCACTGTACTGTTGTTCTCTTTATGTTGGTCCTCCCCGCCACATGTTTAATTGTTGTGTTCATGTTTGCGTGCAGGTCAGCTTGGCTGTGCTGACCTAATTCAGCCCGGACTGGTTCAGCTACAGCCTAACCTGGAGGAGTATATGGATATTGACTCCATGCAAGGTCAGTGGCAAGCCACCTTCATTAAAAGATTTTTAAAATCTTTTAAAATCTTTCCACATTTCGCTGGGTTTCTGAAAATGTGGGATCTTCCAAACTGTTTGATGTATAACAAATTTTGTCTCAGGCAAAGTTTTTGTGTCCTTCTGGAAAAATAGAAAACAATCATTTCTTATATATGATAAAGTGGAGACTCCACTGGGCTCAATTTGAGTCATTTTGCAGGCTGAGCATTTACTTGAAAGCCTATGATATATCCTTAAACTTGCAAAATGAACATTTTCCTGGCTCAGCACTTATATTTTATCATATATTTATTTGTTAAGGTTTTTTTTTACTTGTTAAGAAATAATTAAAGACTTTTTGATGTAATGAGAAATTTCTTTAGTCTGAAAGCTGTAGAGGTAAAAAGCATTTCAAAGTTTTGGTTTTATGTGCATTTATTTGTTTGTGTATCACAGTGTACGTCTGTTGAAGACTATTTTACTCATAATTTCTGTTACTTTTGTATGTATTTCAGAGCTGTTTAATGCAAGAATTCCCTCATCGTCATTTATGAGTGACACGAGTCCCAGTATTGAGATGACTTCGTCCACAATGCAGGTATTATTTAGATAAAGATATAAATAAATTACACGTTACTGATCCCCACAAGGACAATTGGATGTTAATGGCAAACGTACATACAGTTGGGCATGGATAACTCAAAAGCGTTGGGCAGAGGTCCCGTGTGCAAGTTGTGCACATTACAGATCACTAGGTGGTTCTAAAATTGGAAAGATAAGGCTTTGGCTGCTGGGAGGGGGGAATTAGAAATTGATTCCTACCAAAATTGAAAATACTCTGGTCAGTGTAAAAAAATGCCTTTGAAAAGTACTTTCAAATTCAGAAAGTTACTGCCTTAGTCAAGGGGCCCTTTGAAGTAGAAAAAAATTTTCATGTACGTAAAAAAATAAGTTGCATTGCAGGTTGTAGAACAGGCAGTCAACTACCTTTGAGTTCTAGTTAGGTACTGTGAAGAAGATTTGATAACATCAGCAAACATGTGCACTGACTGACCTGTACACATATGTTCACACCACACTCAAACTCATTCTAGCGCCCCCCCCCCCCCCCCCCCTTTTTTTTTCTTTCTTCCTACCGTGTGTTTATATTTCTTAATTATGGGTGGTTTATGGGTGCTCCAATGGGATTTGCTCCTTCTTTTCTATCAAATATCTATTGCCCTTATCTCTCTTCCACCGTTTCTTTGTATATAACTATCGAGTAACACCTCTCTCTTCATCACTTATAAAACCTAATTGTCTTGCAAGTGCCGTAAGGCTCTCAATAAAACTAAAACTAAAGGTCCTTATCATTTTATTTTTTTTCTTTCCTCAGGGTCCAAGCATTACAGACTCGCAGGAGTTGTCTCTGGTAGACTTCATGTCCAGCTCACCGGGGCTGGTTCCAAGAGTGGTTTCCACTGCCGCAGACAGCGGTGTGTTTGCCAGCACCCCTTCCCTCACCTCAGCCACAGTCACACAGATGCAGCAGCAACAGCAGCTTCAACAGCAACAGCAGCAGCAGCAGCAACAACAGCAGCAGCAGCCGCCACAGAGTATCACTTTTCACCTGGCGCCGAACTCATCGGGTCAGTACCCTGTGGACTCGGCCACTATCCTCCTGGAGCCTCCCAGTGACGGGGCCACTGGTTCAGGCATGGTTGTGTCCCCACCGACCTTCACCATAGTGCCAAACTCCTCAGGGCTCTACCCGAACTTTCTGGGCCCCAGTGCCCTCAGTCTCACCACCAACCCGCCCAAGCCTGCAGCACCAGCACCTGTAGTGTCTGTGGACAGTAGTGGTGGGGGCAGGAACATTACAGCTCTCACGCAAGACTTGCTGGCCCAAATGCTGCAACAGCAGCAGCGACAACAGCAACAGCAGCAGCAAGGTCTGTCCGCGTCCACCACACAAAAACATCATCAACAACAGCAACAGCAGCAGCAGCAACAACACGCAGCCCAGGTTTCGTCTCAGCCCATTCAGTTGTCTCTCAGTCCCTCACCCGTGCAGCGTCAGCCTCACCAGCAGCTGGAGCAGAGAGATTTCTCGGTCCCCTTGTTGTCGCCCACAGCGCAGTCCCATCAGACTCTCACCTCGCAGCTCCACCAGCCCCAGGCCGTGGTTAGGCCCACTCTGCAGATGCGGAATCTTGTGACCAAGGGGAATAAACTTGCCAAGCAAAGTGCAGCTGCGGTGAATAACAGCTCGGCCAGTGGGGTCATGTCGGGACTCGCCAAGCTAGCCGAGTCCAACAAGAAAAAGGATGGGCCTTTTGCTGTGCCAGTAAGTCAGCGCTGTTGTGTGTGTGTGTGTGTGTGGGGGGGGGGGGGGGGGGGTCTTTTTGAGAATTTCTCGTCTATCAGTGTCTTCATTGGCCAGGGTTGTGGGGTTTAAATTGAATATTTCACATTTGAGATTTTTGGTTTTAGGCCCGTTTTTAAGGTCATATTTTTTTTAAACATTCCACCGAATTGTTTTCTGACTTCTGAGACCTGTTTCTCCGTAGCTTGTAAAAAATTATTGGGTGTGGTGGCTTTATATATATATTTTTTGTTTTTTTTAAATTTCAAAATTGCTTAAGGCTCACCCTTTATATTTACCTCTTTTATCTTTTAAATTTGTACTGCAGTCTTTTAGAAAACACCTATCCAGCATCACCATCTCTTTTCATAAACGTTTTGGCTCCATAAAAAGTATAAATTTACTGTGTGTGCTTCCCACTTCTTAGTAAAGACATGAGCCTTGGCTTTCTCTTGCCAATGTTTATGTTCAAACATGATGAAGTATACATTGTCCTCCTAGCGGCAGTTGAGTTGGAATGCAGCTTTCTGTATTTCTTGGCTTCTTTTGTTATTTAGAAATTAAAAAGGCAGTAACATTTATTTCTGCAGGAAAGTTTTTCGAAGTATGAAAAATTACACATTTGCTTTGAGCTGAATAAGTATGTATAGGTGAGGAGGGGAAAGCAGCCTGCATTTTGAGTTCACATATTTTGGGGGCCTCCCATCTCTTTTTCTCATGATAGCTGTTGAAGTACTGAAGGCAAGCACTGCACTATGGACTTTTTTCTTCACGTGGGCTACAATTAACAATGATAATTGCATATATAAAGGGCATATCCTTAATCGATACTCAACAGCTGGGGTCACCAAAACTATGGCCCACTGGCCAGGCAAGGAAAAAAGAATTTGGAAGATGGGTTGTGGTGGGCTCAGAACTTAGTCACCAAAATAATTTGTGAGGCAGCTTGGTGAAATCAGGCGCTCATCAAAATAATGAAATAGAAGAAATTGGCATTTTTCCGCCGGTTTAGCAATTTTTTTCTAAAATTTGTCTTTTGGCTCAGCACTTTTTATGTCCATTTAAGATTACTGAAAAACGTTGATTAAAGGCACAAATAATGTAAATAGTCAGTTTCCACGGACTCTCGGACTATGTAAATTACCAAATTTTTTTAGGTCATTATCTCGCTAATTTTACTTCTGAAACCAAGCGACCCCCATCTCCTTCAATCACAAATATCTCAAGTTGAAGTTCTAATTCAAGGTAAATGGGTAGTTTTTTCATTGAAATATAGACTAATAAACAAGTGAAATAAAGAGAAATAAACTAGCTTTAAGGTGATACCAATAACTCCACATGCCCAAAAATTGACGAGCACCTGATTCCACAACGTTGTGACATTTTATCATTTCATTGAACTCGACAGTGCAAATTGAATGTGCTTTTATAGGCTTCAAGCATTTCATTGAACTCGACAGTGCAAATTGAATGTGCTTTTATAGGCTTCATAACTTCTTGCAAATGCATCGTACTCTTACTCGGCTTTATTGGGAAAAGTCATTCTTTTGACAAAGCGCATAGGGCTTGCTGTTGAGCTGGAATATGCGCTGTACAAATGCTATCTATCCGCCTGGTAGCCCAAACACAGGGATTCCACATTTGTAGTTTCACTTGGTTGGGTGCAACAATCACAAAGCAAATATAATCTATTCAGAGATACATGCACTCGAGGTGTAAGAAATACTTCGTTTTATTTCAAGATTACTTAATTTTTATGTCTTTTTGGTAAATAAGTACCTGTATATGTTTGGTGTATTTTGTGTTATGATCAGTCAATAGATTGGTTGCCTTTTTTTCTTTTTAATGTATAAAGTGGATTGTATACTATTAAATAAACTAGTTGTCCATCTCAATCTAGATATTCACTTTGATATTCGGCCCACTTTAAAAGTTTGGTGACCCCTGCTCAACAGCATGCTCTTTGCACTTTACAATGAAGCATCATCTACAAGCATGTTTTGTTCTGAACTGACCAGTCGTTTGCATTATTGAACAAGGAGGCCTTAACTACTTTTTTGTATGCCTGTCTTCCTCAATCTTTTCTCAGTTAAAATGGGAGCTGTGTACATGCTCAGACCCATAAAGATTGTTTCTCTGCTGACTTAAATTCCAAGAACTGACAACTTTTGTTTTCTTTGAAACTGATTGTGTTCTCTAGCTGACAAAGTCTCCTCAGTCTCAACCTGTGCCATATCTTCTTTGAAATTAACTAAACTGTTTCTCGACTCTGAGTCCTTAAAGAAGTGTTTACACAGTTTTCTATTCTGCATTAGCCTTGTTTGCAAAAAAAAAAGTGAGCCTTGGGGTGGGGATGAGGGGGTATGTAACTAATTGGTAGTCGTAACGCGTTTAGAGCCTGGTTTAGAGTGTGGATGTGTGCTATATATTGTAATTGATATTGTTGATTATTACTATCATTTTAATTGATTTAAACATTTTGTGAATATTTTCTGTGTTTTTTTTTCTTTTTCTTTTTTCTTTTTTCACACCAACATTGTGTTTTTCTCCAAAGGCTAAACCTGTGATAGTCCCGAGAAAGAATCGAATGATAGCCCCTGCTCCGAGCACAACGCCACTACAGCAGAATGTCGTTGCGCCCTCTCCTTCCTCCCAAGCTTCCTATCTGGCTGAATTGTTGAAAAATGGTAAGTTGTTACCTTCTCCGGGATATATCTGTGACCAGCATTTTGTGCCACTGTAATGGCGGACTGTGTGATAGAAAAGTTTAATGTGTGAATGCTCTAATAGCTTAAGAAGATTTTGCCTCTTAACCATAGTGTGAAAAGTTAGATCCATATTTTCCAGTACAATTCACTGCCTTGTCAATGTCCTAATGGTAATTAGTATCATTTGTGCAGGGTATTTCCATTTTCTAAAAGATAAAATGCAACTTGCATTACAACCATAGTGATTAACACATTTTTAGTATTACTTGACAGGTGTATACATAGAACATAAGATTATATATATTAATAATGATAATAGTATAAGTATTTCTATGAGGAGAAAAATTATGAAGCAGTGAGTTTGGCAGCGATAATGCGAGTTGTAAACAATGTGGAGTACAAGTAAAAACTAATCATGGTAGCAATAAAATGTTATTCTCTATCTCACACTCTCTCTCTCTCTTCCAGTCTCTCTTATCTCTTTCTCTCTTTCTCCTTCCCCGTCTCTTCCTCCCTCCCTTCCTCTCTCTCAGAGTAACTAAGGGAGAACTTTTTTCTAAAACAACTTTTGGACTGATTGTAGGCACGTACCGTGGCGCTCTGATCAATGTGAAGAAAGAGCCAGTGGTGGCCTCCAGCCCAATCAAGACAACCACTAACTACCAACACATCCAGCCATCACCGTTGCCCTTACCGCAGCAGCAGCAGCAACAGCAGCAGCAGCAGCAGATCTCCAGTTTGGTGACCATCGCCTCAGCCAGCCCTGTCCACTCCACTCTTCCCTCTCTCTTAGCCAGACCCTCCCAGTCTTCTGTTGAAGTGCCGTCGGTAAGACAAGTCTTTGTCAAAATAATTGTCGAAGCATTTATTGCGTTCTTAACCGCCGTCTGAGGTTTATTGGTTAGGCGCTTTACTGTCGCAAACAGGAGCTCTGAGTGTGATTTCTGAGTGGGCATTGGGAAACATGTTTTAAAGAGTATGGGGAAGTATTGAGTAGTGCATCTTTAATACTTTCAAGCTGTAGATGTTGTAATAGCCTGAATTGAATGTAATTGTTTTTGTTGGGTTTTTTTCTCTCTGTACATTGAAAAATATGTGGCATGTGAGGTATTAATCAGCATCTGCAGTGTAGAGGTTAGGTGCTTCACCATTGTATGCAGAAGACATGAGTTTGATTCCTAGGTGATGAGAATTTTCATTGAGTATCCTGGTCTTTCCGCTGGGACGTTGTATCCCTCTCAGCTTATTCTGGTCCAGAGAGGCAGGCTCAAGTCCCGCCTCCTAAATGATCTAAATTGTGTTGATGTGGGGTGTAAACATCTACATTAACTCTTAAACTCCGAGATTTTTTTCTTTGTATTATGGAAAAAAATTTTCTTGATCTCGGGAAATAAGTAAAAATGCTTGCGCGTAAATTGTTCATAAAATGGCTAAAACTGTGTCAATGTGAAAAAAGAGGTGGTTCAAATATTTATCTAACGCATGTGGTTCTAAATAAGCCTACTTATGTTCGTAAGAGATTGCATTCGCAGTAATACTTGATTCAGCGTGTGATCTGACCAGGCCCTTGTACCAGCTACTCAGAGACTAGGCGAGTTTTGCTGAATGCTCCCATTGTCCACAAGGGGTAACTGAGTTTAAAAATATAGAGTAGAAATGATAACGCGCTTTCAAAGTAAGGTGGTGGTTGTATGATACCACTGGCAGATCATACAAGGTTTGACAAACATTTCAGGTTATTGTTGGCTGACTTTGCTCTCTGTCCAACATTATATTATTCCAAGTTAGCCAGAATTTTTTTGTATTGAGTTTATCAACGTTGAAGTTCAATGGACCTGATTTTGTAGTCCTAAGTCCCAATTTTCTTTGCCTAATTTCATGCAAAAGACTTGTAGGTTCGTGTTGCTATGTAGTTTCTTGTTTCATACAGCATTTTTGTACTTTATCAGTAACAGACATGCAAATACAATAAATGCTTAAAAATTGTTTTTTGTTTTCTTTGTAGGTGTTTTTGTACTTTTTTAGCCGTCTTGATAAGTTTATTTCTAAAGTTACCTCTTGTTTCATTTTCAGAGTATTAGTCAAGGTGTGTGTGGGGTAGTGCTGTCCTCACCCCTCTCTGGTGTTGACCTTAATCCTTCCCAAGATCTCAAGGTTTCACCACTTAGATTTGCTCAGTCCCCTGACAACAAAGGTGACAATTGTATTCGTGTGTTCCTGTTTGAGCGTGTGTGCGTGTATAATAATAATAATAATGATTTACAATTTATTTATATTGAGCATATCCATGCTCTTCTTCACAGCATGCTGTATGCAATTATTTTTAAAAAATAGAAACAGAATTTTATTCGAGTCAAAGTGATCTATGTGAAGTTTTGCAAAAGTTAATAATACAGAGAAAGAAAGCGGAAAACATTTCATTTGGTGCTGAAGAAAATGTTTTATGGTAAAATTCTACTGCATTTATGACATTGATTAATTTAGTTTGCCATAAGTAAGACCAAAAGTCTTTTTAACTGATCTTATATATATGAAAATATCCTCATCATACATTCAAGATAAATTAAGTGTTAGGTTTATGTAGGTAACTCTTCGAGTTTATGCATTTCCCAGAACTTAAAGTTTTAGTTGGTAATTGTTTGCAAATCCTCCTTTTTTCTAATCTTACTTCACAGGTGGTTGACTCTTCTTTCCCTTTCAAATTCCTATCGTCCTTTTCTTTTTCGCCCTCATCTTTTCTTTGTGTGTTACCACCCCCTAATTTTTGGCACATATATGGTTGATTTCTGTTACAAGTGCCATAAAACACTTACTTAAACTAAACTGGTGTTGTCGTTGTTTTTTTTCATGCAAACAGTTTCCCTCGGAGGCTCCCCAGTCAGTTTGTTACCCAAAAGTCCAGGCATGAGCCCGGAAGTGAAGCGGTCACCTTCTCCTCTCATGGACACCAGCTCGCTGCTGGACTCGTCCACAGGCTCCCCCCTCTCCTCCGTCATGCCTATGTCGCCGTCAGCCATGGTGAGAGTTGTGTGTTTGGACTTTGTTACGTTGTTTTAGGACTTTGTTACGGAACACAGCACTACCGCATTTTAAACCAACAATTTGAAATAACAAATGCGTAACTCTTACCGTAAGTGCTGGATACTTTATTTCAACCAGTGTAGAGCACAGTAGATTTCCCTCAAAGTGGGTAGACCTTGGCTCTGTCCCTTTCTCTTCTCTCCCTGTCGTCCGACTGTCCCCCCACAGGCTGTGAGTTGCCAATTGTATATATAAGCTTCACGTGAGCTGCCACAGCGCGAGATCCCCGTGCTCCTCCGCATGGGAACACCGCGCCCCAAGTAATATTTCAATTCTTGTGGTGTAAAGTGGCCAAGTATCCACAACAGACTTTATTGACCGTTTTTGTGGAAATGAAGAGTATGTCACTCTGCGAACAAGGAATCTTATCTGTTGTTTTGTGTGGCAGGGAGGAGCAGACTCTCCGGGTTCAAGTGACGGCCTCTATCCGAAGGGTAACAGACGAGCGGCTCATCTGTCTGCTGAGCAGAAAAGGAGATGCAACCTGAAGGTATGTTAGATGATGATTATATAGCGGTTTTGTTCTTTATCTTTGAAAGTCAGTTAAGTACTATATATTTTGGATGATTTTTGTGGCATGCTAAATTTGTTACTTGGATTGTATATGTGTCACTACACCATGGAATCAGGCGCCCGTCAATTTTTGGGCATATGGAGTTATTGGTATCATCTTAAAGGTTATTTATTTGCCTTGCTTTCGATGAAAAAAATATCCATTTATCTTGAATAGAAGTCGAGATATTTGCGATTGAAGAGGATTGAGTGGGTTTGAGAAGAAGTATAATTAGCAAGAAAATGGCCGCCAAAGTTAAGTGACTTCCATAGCATGGAAACTGCAAATGTACATTTTTTATGCCTTTAATTGTTTTTCCGTAAAACCCACACGTAAAAGTGTTTTTGAATGGACATACAAGGTGTTCAGCCAAAAAAACAAAAATTCGAGAGAGAAAAATGTCCAAACTGGCCGAAAAATGCAGTTTTCTCGAATTTCTTTTCCTTGACGAGGGCTTCGCCTGATTTCACCACGCTGCCTCACATATTAATTGTTCAAAATCTCATTGCTGTCAAAGTAGTGTGTGTTTGTTTCCATAAGCCTGCAGTATTTTCTGTTCGTCTTCTTTTATATTTTTGTTTATGTCTCTGGTTCGTATGTGTTTTTATGTTTGTTTTTCACTCTTATTCCAGACTGGATTTGATATGCTTCAGCAGCTGGTCCCCTCACTGTCTCAAAATCCAAAAGTCAGCAAAGCAACTATGTTGCAAAAAAGTAAGTTTGATTGTAATGGTTAACAAATGTTGATTGTCTTTTGTTGAACTTTGTTCCTCTGGATTCTGGGTATGTGATTAACAGGTGTTGTGGTGTTGTTTGATCCTTCTTTGCTATCAAACATCCCATCGTCCTTTTTTTCGCCTCCTTCTTTGTATACTACTCCTGTAACACCTCTAATCTTCGCCACCTATATGACTTTATTGTGTTGCAAGTGCCGTAAAACACCTACTAAAACAAACTCCTACTAAAGCTAAACCTCGAGCCTGGTTCGTTGTGATTTGCATTATTTAGGTTGACTGACTGTAATATATAGCTTTCTTGGAGACCCAGAGCCTACAATTACAAATTTGTTTTAAAAAGCATTGTTTTAGTCCTGAATAAGGCTCTTTTTTTTCCGAATTGGGCATGTTTGAAAGTGGCCAAAAAATATTGGAAATCGTAAATCTCCATGTGAAAGTGCTGATGGCTGTTGGAACTTATGTAGGTGGGGGGGGGGGGACTTATGTAAGGGGGGGGGGGGGGGGAAGAAACTGTATTTGTGAGCTGCATGTTGTGTGGTATATATTTCACTTTCAGTCGTGCTTAAAATTTTTTCTTTGCTTTGGGGGGGGGGGGGGGGGGGTTCACAAATAAGACCCTGTCTACCATAAAGAGATTATTTATTTATATGTCATGTTTATCTATTTTGAATCTGCTTTGAAGCCTCTTCCCTGAAACATGACTTCGGTATTTATCCACACAAGATAATGAGTACTAACCACTAACATACTGAAAGTATTATCATGGGTAAGAAGTAGTATCACATTTTTTTTAAGTCCTAGAAATGCAGCTCTGATATTTATCTACAAATGATAGTGAGTACTTACCACTTACATAGTATGTGTTTGGCCAACATGTCGCGTCACGTAATGAGTTTTTTTGTTTTGTCTTCTCAGCTGCTGAATATTGTAAAAAGCTAAAAGCAGAAAGATCACAGATGCAGAAGGAGGCTGCTATTCTAAAACAGGAGATTGAAGCTTTGAATTCAGCCATCAGTAACGTACAGTCGCAACTTCCAGAAACTGGAGTTCCAGTGACTAGACAACGAAAGGACCAGATGAAGGAAATGTTTGACGAGTACATCCGTGTTCGCACGAAAGACAACTGGAAGTTTTGGATTGTATCCTTTGTTCGTTTCATTTGTGAATAGGATGAGGTCTCTGTTGTGATTTTTAGCTGTGATTCTCTCAGTGCAAGTTCTTCTTTTGCATATTATTGTATTACTTGCTAGACAATGCTGATGACTTAATGCTTTATTGTTTTCCTAACGTGTAAGCCACATGTCAGTAGGCCAAACTTCAAGGGGTTGAAGGATGCCACAGATAGATCCTTCTTCTTTTTCTTTTTCTGCAGTTTCTGCCTGTCGGTTTTACTTTTTCCCTGCATTAAATTACTTTTATTGTGTTCAGTGTGCTTCTCCTTACTGAAAACCAGTGGCTAACTTATTATGATCTGTGTCATAAATTTCTGTTTCTTTCTTTAAAGGTTTGGTTCAATTGAGCTCAACTGCTGCATGAAGAACTTACTTGAAAGGAGGGATTTTTATACTTTGATTATAATGGATTTGGACTTTTTTTGCGTTAACACAAGTGTTGTTCTAATCGTCATCTTGCATCAATCTCTCATGGAAACAAATAAATATGGACCTGACTCTCTGGCACAGTGCACTGTTGGTTGGCCTGCTCAATGGTTGTAACTGGAATTTTTCTTGTCAAACTAGCACTTGATCTTTGTAAATTTGTAAAGCTTTGATTTTCCTTGTAATCTAGCGCTTACTGACCTGGGCTATTTGGTAATTGTGATGGGGAGGGGGGGGGGAGTGTGGTAGAGAACAGATCACCCGGGTAGGGACGGGAGTTACTTTAAGGTACATTTAGGCAGGCAGTACAATAATTTTAGCCTCTTTAAAAGTGTCAATAGTGGGTGCTGGCTATAAAGAAATAGTTGAAAGTACTATTGTAACCATTCCTCCAGTTTTTAGCCCTTAACACTGTCGTCAGTTTTCAGTGATCATGAATTCGCTGTACGATTCGTACTGCAACACGGTGTCTACGGCCAGCCTGGAGGAGATGTGTCGGACCTCGCTCACCTGGCTGGACCAGTCGTGCTCCCTTGTCTCTCTGAGGCCGAGTAAGTCCGAAATTTTTGTGTACAGTTGAAATTGTCCATGGAGGCCACTTTTTGTTGAGAGGAAAAATGGTTGTCTTGGACAGTCATTATTTTTTTAAAAATTATAGTAAAACACCGGTAGGGGAGAAATGGGAAGTGATCATTTGTACAGGTGATAGTCTTGGACAGGTGGCAGTTAGATGATTTGTTTTGATTTTTCCTTTTCTTTGTTTTTTGTGTTGTTGGGTTGTTTTTTTTCTTTTAAAAAAAAAGGTGTGTTCGATGAAGAGGGAACAAATGTTGCATTCTTTTCTTCTAACTTGACTTTTTATGTTCTGTGAAATATATTTTAAGCATGAAACCTTTTTGATCATATTTCAGCTTGAAGCATTATTTTCTTACAAATATAGGTTGAGGAAATTCAACTGTATTAATGGCTTTCCTATACGTTAATGTGAGAGGTGCTGATTTAAGGCCATCTGCGGGTGAGATTTTCCCCATTTTTACCCAGTTTGACCATATAGTTTTTCCTCTCCATTTTTGAAACCTACATCCATTTCCATCAAAGTTTCGAGCGCCCGTTTCACTTAATTATGTTTCAAAGTCATTTAAAAATGGGTTTAAAAAAATATTTTGCAATTGTGGGTCGTGTTTTTAAAATATTTTCTTCTCCATAGGAGACCTGTACTGAAATAGAGCCCTTTTTGAAGATAATCTAAGATTAAAATTACTATCGGTGTTTTTGTTGGGAATTTTGAGATTTTTTTGCTCTTCATCTATGTACACATTTCGAGAGTCCATAATTATTTTCTTAATCATAATATTACAAATCTGCCGTTATTTGCTCATTACATAGATGTTGTAGTTTGTACTTTCAAAAAATGAAAGCCAACGGACCAAAACTAAGAGAGAAGATAGCTTTTGAAATTTGATGAAATTTTCCAATATAGCGGATGTTTGCTTGGTTACCATATCATGTGCTTATAATAATAAATAATTACTTGAATTAATTCTTTAATGTCTGACTAATATGAATATATCATTTTTGCTACATATAGTCAATGGATATGGATTTTAGAAATTCCACCAGCAGATGGCCTTAACGGGTTAATCTAAAAATCCTGAGTGCTGAAATGATCTGCATTTTGTAATTCATTCCTGCTTATACATTTATTTAGATCTTGGCACACATCTTATTGCACTTACGAATGAAATTAGTCTTGGGACAAGATGTATTCGGCAGTATCCATAAATTTTGAATCCCCATGTGTGCCGTTCCACAAGGTCTGAGAAGTTCAGGATTTTTTTTGCTTAGCTAGTTGACACGCTAGTTTAAATATCTCGGATATATGATAACATCTGACGCCAAATGTTTCACAGAAATAAAAAGGAGAACTACAATGGCTAAGGCTAGTTTCAATAAAATGAGCCCAATCCTGAAAAATAGAAACATCTCAGTGAACACCAAAATAAAAGTCCTGAAATGCTATGTTTGGTCAACCCTTCTATATGGCTGTGAATGCTGGACAATCACTAAAGACAGTGAAAATAAAATAGAAGCAACAGAAATGTGGTTTCTTAGGAGACTGCTAAGAGTATCATGGAAGGAAAAGAAATCAAATGAGGTAGTGCTTGATGAAGCCCACGTGGGACGCTCAATGTTAAAAACAATCAGGAAACGACAAATGCAGTTTTTGGGACACCTGAATAGACATAAGGGTCTTGAACATCTAGCTCTCACAGGCAAAATTGAGGGCAAGCGAGGCAGGGGTAGGCCCAGAACAACATACTTAGGGAACCTAAACAAATGGTTAACAGGAAAAGATCAGGGAAACGTAGCTTTTTTTAGAGCATCCGAGCAAAGGAATGAATGGAAAACCATGATCGCCGATGTCTGTCGCAGATCTGGCACTGGATGATGATGATGAGTTGACACGTAAAGAATGACTTTTTGTGCTGTTTTTCAACTGTTATCTCTTATTAAAGCCTTGTGTATGTTTATTAGTGAACAACGTATTGTATTCAGACAGTTGTGTGATGCAGGAATAATGGAAACCACTTGGAGCCCTACATTTTTCAGCCTTATTAACTTTTTATCTGTACTTTTAAAAAAAAAAAATTTTTAATAGCGTTGTAAAGTTTTTCCTATCTTATGATTGTGATGGAGACCGAAAAAATAATTGTAATGATAATTCTATGCAGAATTGAAGTAATGAAAATGTTTTAGTCTTGATTTTTTTGGTTTGTTCAAGCTGTGCGACAAACTCAATTTTTACTCTTTTAATTCATTTCACTGAAAAATTTCCCTTCCTCCTCAGATGTTCTGAATGCACTGCGACGTCTGAGCACCACAACTAGTATCCTTACAGAGCCGCAGAAAGTCAAGGAGCAAGCTCTGCAGGCGGTGACCAAGTCTCAGGGGAAAACTCAGGGAAACTCCCTCCCGAGATAGTGGGGGATATTGGCTTATTTTGAGACGATGGAGACCGTCCAAGATAATAGCTCAGTGCGAGGTAGTGGCTTTTCATTTTTGAAGGAATGTACCCACAGCCAGCCCCCTTGGGGTTCTCGTGGAACATCCCAAGGGCCCCTGTTTTACTGCCATGTGCTTCTGCTTAGCGTTGTGAAAAGAGAGATGAACCTTGGTTCCGGGTTCCGTGAGTCCAATAGATATGGAAGAAAGTCGGAGCTTTACTTCCTTTGGTTCCACACAGTGAGGCAGGGGAACAAGCCCATAAGACTCCCGCTATGAACAGTGAAATGATTTGAGCTGCTTTGTAGGACAAAGTCCTTGCCAGATGTGGAATTCCTTTCTGTGATTGATTCTGTGACGGGATAGACAAAAAGAGAACAGATCCAGAATTTTTGAGGATTAGATATGGGAGCACGGAAAGTCAAAGCTCCACTAGAAGTGCTGGAGTGACAGCGGTACTCACCAGCATCTGTTGTGGAATGGAAAGGTTACTCACCACAGCACTCAAAGATGTGAGTTTGATTCCCACCTGGGGAAGAATATATCGAATGTCTGTGTCTTTCTGTTTGGAGGCTGTTTCCCCACTGCCCTGGTGGCCTTGACAAGCAGCTGTGAACTTTCCCGCCTATTCAATGATTGAAATTGGGTCGATGGGAATGTAAAATCGATCACTGTAAGACTATACACTTGGATAAAGGCAACGGTCTCACAGGGGTTATTGTGGGTCCGTTATTTTTTTTTTGGATGTGAAAGTGTTCGACATGACTTCCAGTTCCACCTGTGCATTTCATTCTTATATTGGAGGTGATTTGGTATAGAGCAAAAGAAATGGATTGTGTCAAAGATTAGCTTATGTGAAAAGGAAAAGCTATTTGTGCAAGTTGTGTTGAAGTTGAGGGTTATTATTGCTTGTCAAAAAAGTGGCCCGTGTTTTAACTAAACCTAGATATTTGGCTGTATGAATAAGCTTCCAAAGGATCCCAACCTTAAATGTTTATCAAGCTGAAGCGAGCTAGCAATAGATGACACCTTAGTTAAAAACACTTTGATTTACTCAGCTTAAACAACGTGCTTCAAGGTGAAAAAGTCCTGATGTTTGTTTGGTTTTTTGGGTTTTTTTAGGTTGTTGTTGCTTTATTTTGTGCTGGTCTTACAAGCAATATTATGGTATAAATGAAAGGCAGCAAGTTAAAACTCTGCTGATTGCATTGTGTCTAAAATGATCAGTCAGGGGAATTCACATTGTCCAAGTGTTTGTTATTTTTAAGTGGCAATTTTTTTCAGACAGTGAAAGTAGAAGATGCGATTTGGGGTTGAATCCCTCAATCAACCTGATACTTGAATTGATACCCTAAATATTTCTCCCTCTCTTTTCCTCTCCTATTCCTTTCCTTTCCATGATTTCCGTATTTGTAGCTCTAAGTTGTGGGTGTTTCTGACTTGTGTTCTCCTCCAGTCAGCTATTAACGTGCAGAAAGTTGCAGGATTTGGACAGACAGGACATGGGTGGGTCAACAGTCGACTCATGACATTTGGACTGTGACTGCCTTGGTTTTTTGTTAAGTTTGTTGGTCATTCTTTGTTTTTTAGTCCACTGTGTGAGCTAAGAGGTCTGCTAAAACTGAAGGTAACTGCTGGTGGAAGCTTGTAATTATTCTGTTATGAGTTTTTACTCTGGGACTTTTTAAAAAGACTTTCACTTTTGTTGTTTTTGGTATTATTGTGTCTGTGGGAATTTTAGTGATTTGTACAGTTCATGAAGAAAAAAAAGCTCAAAATTTGTGACTCTGAGCAACAGCATGCAGGTGCATTGCCTTTACATGCAATTTGTGTTACATGTTCATCATTGAGATGGCGAAGTGATGCAGTGTTGTCAGTTTTAGCCGTGCTTTAAGTGCTAAAGAACAATTTTTTTGAAGATTCTTCCCTTTTTGTGCGTTTTATCTTTATGTAGTTTCAATACTCAGGCTTAAAATTAAAACAAAGCCATATCCTTCAGCTTTTGTTTTATGGATGATTTAGAGAAGATGTTTGCTTTTGCCAGACCCATGGAGAAGAGTCATTTTTAGTATGATGTTGATGAAAGGGAGTATGACAAGTGATGAAAATGAATGTCATGTGGTTATGTCCTCCCAAGAGATGAGTGGTTGCAGGTTCTAATGTGACGTAGATTTGCAGAACTGCACATTTGCAGCCTGATTAAGTATTCCTGCCACACTGTCTCACGCAAATGCTTGCACAGCACTATATATTGTTGTCCTGAGATTCATGCTTTAAACAGTTGCTGAAAAGTGGAAGAAGAATGTAACAAGTTTTTCACAAGTGCTCTGGGGAGCAACACTGCCCTGTTGAATAGAGTCTTTATATGTGAAGTTCAGATTAGAATTGTTGTGCACGGTTTTATTATAAGTTTCAATATGGTTATAATAATGAGCTCCACATTACTCGTGCAAATAAAGTCAACATGAACATGGATCACATATTGCGTATTCATGGCACCAAATTATACTCCGCTCCAGCATATTTTTTTCCCCACCCCCCCAGCACTTATCTCTGCATGTTGTTAGATTTCACCAGTTCTCTCTGAAGGAGGATAATTTGTTTAAAAATTCTGTTAATTGATTTTGCATTTACAAACAAATGAAATATTGTTGTTAGTCCTGAAACATGGGAGCGGAGAGTTCTGTCCTGTCAAGTGTTCAGCTTTTATGAGGCTCTGATCCACAGCCCTGTTTCCATTTTGAATCTTTTTATTACTTCAGGCATTATGGTCTATGATTTTTTTTTAATGTTCAGATTTTAGTTTTACTTCATACTTGCAGAAAGACTTGGTCTGTTTCTGTTAACAGTTTGGGAATGGTGTGACTGTAGCAATGGTCCTCATGCATTACAAATAAAGTGTTGGATTCCTGTATAAAGGCTGATATCGATAGCTCTCCACTTTCCATCGTTTGCATGACTCACTGTCAATGGTGTTGAAAATTGTTTTTCTTTGTTTGCAACTCATATCATGTTCTGGTATTCAGTGTTGGCCACATGTTCACTGTTTTCACACAGGACAGCTACCACCTTCCAGTTTTCTATTCCAACCTGAGACTGGGCTACCCCCATAAGTCAGCTGATACGGGCCATTCCATTTAAACGGAAACTGCTGCGGAAACACTTGTAACACAGGGGTGATGAATGAAAGACCTACTGATAAAAAAATCTAAGCCATGATAGAGCCATTCTTTTCTTTCTTAGATTTCTTTTTCTTTCTTTTTTTAGTTTGAGGAAGGTTGTCTCTTAAAAGAAAAGAAATAAAAAGAACAAATAACTCTATTCGTTTTTAAATTTTTCAGCAGGTCATCATCCCTTGGTATGTGTGTTCCCCGTTTCATGGAATGGCCCCGCAACACTACTTGTATAGCAAGAACTGCTTTTCACTGGATCTTTTTCAGACTTCCTTGTTGTGCTGAACGCCTGGTGTTATCAATATTAGTAAATCACAGGTGTCAGACTCAAGGGGTGCACACCAGGGAACAATTATAATATATCTAGCCTGCAGAAGGATTTTAGAAAGTCCACCCTGAGAATTTCCGTAACACAGAACCTTACTCCAAACTTAAATCAACTTGTTGCCAAGAAAAAAAATAGCAAACATCCTGGGCTGACAACTTGGCATGAAGGTGAAAATTGGTATGCTTTGATTTGTTAAATTACTTTTAGTTTTGTCTGTTTTAATTCATATCATTGTTTAGTTTCCTCCCAGCTCAATTTGTGTTTATCCAGTGTGACCCACAACCTTATGTTTAATTTGAGTTTGGCACCCTTTACATTTAGCTTGTGGATGGTTGGCGGGTGCTCTGGTGTTGTTTTGCTCCTTCTTTCCTATCAAACCTCTATCATCCTGACTCTCCTCCTTTTTTAAAAAAATGTTTGTTACTCTCTTGTAACACCTCTAATCTTCAGCACTTATATGACCTTATTGTGTTGCAAGTTCCGTAAAACTCTTACTAAAACTAAAACTTACAATTAGCTTTGGTGACTCCCTGGTTGTAAATAGTACACCATTTGCTTTTCTTCTGTTAGTTCTTATATATAAACGTGAGCTCTCATTGCCAGGCTTTGTTTTCGTTCTCCCGGCAATGTTTTGTTAACCAGAGAAGGCCTACACCTACATGTGTGCCTTTCTGTGCTGTCCCGATGAAGTGTAACTCACTGAACCGTGGCCCCAAATGATATCAGTCTTGGGGGTTTGCGGTTGAACCCTGATCCTGTCAGTAGGACGAGGTTTCCCCAATTCATTTTTTGGTTGTTTTGTTTTGTTGTGGGTTTTTTTGGTTGTTTTTTTTCCAAAAATTCTTGTTAGACCCAGACGTAGCAGTGATGTTAGGAGCTATAGCTAAACTGTCTTTCTTGGAAAACACCACTTTTTACGAGCAGATTATTGGGAGGTTGGCTGGCACTCTGATGTGGTTTGCTCCTTTCTTATCAAATGTCTACCGTCCTTAATCTTTCTTCTTTTTAAAAATTTTATTGTTTATTGTTGATTTATTAATTTAATTTTTTTTTCTGTTATTCTTTAGTAGCACCTCTCATCTTTAGCACTTGGGTGACCTATTTGTGTTGCAAGTACCATAAAACTCTAACTAGAATTGCACGCATAATACTGAGGTGTTTTTTGTTTTTTTTAATGGATTTTAAAAAATAATCTTCATGGTGCACTCCTCTCCTCTGATCTTTTCTAGAAAGTGGGCATTATTTTGTTTTAATTTGTTATTTAATTTTATAATGAAGTAAACATTGTGTTAGTAAACATTGAATGTAGGAGAATAAAATTTTGATTTGTTTTTGAGGTTTTTTTAGATGGGCTTAATTCGGTGCCAATGCTGAATCCCTGTCTTTATTGTTTTATTAGAGTTATGGATATGAGGGCAGGGATGGTTGGACGACTAAAAATAGTTATGGTTCAGTCAGTTACACTTTGTTGTTGTTTCTTGATGCTCATATTTTGGGCGAGTTTGTTTTGATGGGATTATTATTGTCCTAAGTTCCATTTAGTCTTTTATGTTCTTACGGCAGCAGTTCTATTGACAATTCAGCAGACTGGTAAAAATAATGTACTTTACACAGTGTCTGGCACAGAAGTAGACGACAGCTTTGTACACTGCATTGATCTGCCTGCAGAATTTTTTTGCTTTCGGACATTTTCACAGCGCTCGGATAAAGGCGGGTTTGGTCTTGTTGTGGGCTAACGCTTTGACTGATGACTTTTGCTGTCTGTGAGTCGCACATCGTTTTGCCTTTATTTCTTTTTGTGTTTTGTGGTTGGAGTTTGATAAAACTTCTTCTGTAACTGGTGTGTCCTGGCTGTACTGTGGCTCTGTCACTTGTTGCTTTTTCAGTCAAATCTGTACTAATGTGGTACTATTTTGTACAATTCGAATCTTTATGGTGAATTTGTTGTATCAGTTTAGTGGAGATGACGTACTTTTGATTCACTGGTTAATGTAGTTGATCTTGTTCTACCAAAGTATTTTCGTCACTGGTGGTTTAACTAATGGTTGCTTGTTATTTTTCTTCATTTTTGCTCATATGTCGTCCCATTGGTGTTAGCATTATATCATTGATCCCTGTTGAAGTATGTAAACAGTGCCATGTGCAATTTGATAAATCCTGTACAAAGTATATAGTAGTATATATTTCATTGTTTGTGCTGATATTAAGTGAACATTGTATTTGGTCCTACAGTGGTAGAGATTGGAAATTAATATTGAATATAAAAATGGCATTTGACAGCTGCTCTGTATATCTCTGGTTTAATTGCGCAAGCGACTGTTGTGTAGCAGGTTATATGGACGACTGGCTGTCTTTTGATCTGTTTGTTGTGAGAAATAGTTATCGTTGATTGATGGGTGGTTGGTTAGGGCTCTGGTGTGGTTTGTTCCTTCTTTCCTATTCCTAACAAACATCCATTGTCATTATCTCCCTCCCTCTTTTCAGTGTATGTTACTCTCTCATAGCACCTCAAATTTTAGCTTTTATAAGGCTAATTTTGTATGTAGCATGTGCCGCTAAACTCTCACTAAAACTAAACTTCAGTGTTTGTCATTAGTGTGGGTGGTAAGCAGCATTTTGAGAATTGGGAGGGAGGGGGGGCTTTGTGTAAATTATTATTGGTTAATGCTCCTCGGCAAATAAATATTTAAAGGAATTGTTTGATGATAGTTTTACCTGGGCTTTATTGTTGTGTTAAGAGAGGCATGCCATTACAAAATCAGTGAAAAATATGCATATATTATTAGACGATCAATAATGGCCATGTTTAAGGCATGTCATTTTAACATGCGTGCCGAATTTCAAACTCTTGCCTTTCTGAAATGTTAATGGAATGTTGAAAATAGGTTTGCCTCCTTTCCTGTCAGAATATTGTGCTGAGTATGTGTGTGTGTGTGTGTGTGCACGCGTGCTGAGCTTGTCAACGGTTGATGTAGATTACATATTCGTTTGCTCATTGAAAGGCCAGAATTTATGGAGAAGTGCTTTCGTCAATTCATTAATAAATTTATGCAGTGATATTTGCTATTCGGAACTGTTTGTTCTGTGTTTATTGAATGGAAAGGAAATCTGTCGCAAGGTTCAGTGTATGGATCACATAGCAAGTAAGATAGGTTGAATGATCCCTATGTATTCAATTTTTTTCCCCTCAAGGATTATAAGAGGATCCTTATGTATTTATGTAAGAAATCAGGGACTATAGTGTCTGCTTTAGCTGTTACACGTTTACAATGGCAGTTACTGCTCTCAGGATCAATTCAGGCCTTACCCGTGTAGGGAGGATACCTGTGGCCTTTTGTTGTCTACGAGCATGTACTGCGTCACTCACTAGCATCATCAATTCATTGGCACAGTGTTTTGACAGTTCTGGGGGGATCGGGCACTCGGCTTTTAAAACCTTTAGATGTGTGCAGGTGTGTTTGCTACTTTATGATGTACTGACAAATTATTCTCCCAAAGACCAGCTTTTTACTTATTCCGTCATTCCTGCCTGCAGTGTCTTCTTCCCCTTCTCTGTGGTTCTCATCAGCGTTGGGGTGTATGTAGGAGTTATAAATATAGTTCAGCTCAAGTAAGCAAACCAGAGACCTCTTGTGTCTTGCTTTACAATTTTTCACGAGCTGAATGGTGGCTGTTATTAGTTAAGTTACAAACTATGGGACTGCTTTGTACTTCACATAAAAAGGTTCGCTTCTTCTATTCGTGAAGCGTGTTGACAAAATAAGTTACTTTTCACAGTACTAGAATCGAGACATCGGCCAAAAATTAAGACATGAGTCAAATTTGTAGATTTTCAACTGATGACATTTTCTTCAAGTGTCATACGCTGTATCATTTCCTACTAATAAATTGTACTTGTACAAACTCAACTTATAAATTTGATGGATTTATTCCGCAGGGTTCAAATCAAAGAAGTAACTCATTTTGTCTGCATGCCTCAAATTTCTTTGCTTTTGTTATTGTTTCTTTGTTTCTTGGCTGTTGAATATGGGGGGGGGGGGGGGGGTTCTGTCCATGGCCTGCCTTTTTCCTAACACTTTCTAGTGGAGTTGATATCATGTTTGATGCACTATTCTCTGCATTTGTTATAGGGACTATTGTTAATCATAATCCATTTCACTGCTGAGGGAAAATTAACGTGCTTCCTTGCAATACTGAACAATTTTGTGGCCAATTTTCTGGATGGATAGGAGAACAAAGTTTGTGTTATTTCATTTGAGTTTTCGTTTCGTGCCGTGGTTTGTTTTTTGGGGGTTTTTTTTAGGGTGGGAGGGGGGGGTGTTTCCAAGTTTCAGTTTGTGGAATTAATATGAAACATAAGGAGGAGCTTTTTTTTTTTTTTTTTTTTTTTTACAAAGAGATTAAGAGGAGGTCCATCGACCATAATTAATATAAAAAGTTTTTCACCCCGTCAACATAATTTAGATCTTGTAAAAGATTAACTGATTCAACCCGTGGTAGGGGGAATATTAAATCCCTGCAGAAAGACAGAGATGGGGGATAAGACATCTTCCCCACATTAAATTCAACTCTTCTGTCTTTCCCATGCAGAGTGAAAAACCTTATTGTTACCGCGTAAATGGTAATAGTCAATTGTTAAATGTTTGAGCATAAAGAATAAAACGCACAAATCTAGAATAAAAATGCATCAGTATATATGGCTGTGAAGTCAAGCTTTTCCCATTTTTCTCTGCTTGAAGTTGTTGGAATGTTAACTTTTGCCTAGATTTAGACCTAGTGAATATTCACAGAAAAGGCAAAATGTACATTTTGTACCTTTAAATGCACATAGTGAAAGAAGTTAGGATTAGTTTCCCTTTCATCACATGACTTTAATTACAAGCAAAGCGGACTTCTAATATTGCTCTGTTAGTTTGAGTCAGAGTTTTACACTCTTGAGATTTAAGTGCCGAATTAAGTTCTGACTGGAGAATATGTTCTAAAAAATTAAGATCGACGCTTAATGGTAAACGCGGGAAATGAGACCCAGGAATCTTTGCATGTTTCAGTGAATCTGTGTAAGAGAACTCATCCTGGTACCCTCCGATCTTTAAGGAATATGCTGTTGTAGCTGTCTAATCACA